CCCCAAAACCCCAAAACCCCAAAACCCCAAAACCCCTGGTTAGGTATAAAGCTTGGTAAGTATAAATTATTCCAAAATGGAACCTACAACCTGGGACAAAAGACTTATTAGGGAACTAAAGGACTTGCTAGCCACAAGAAATGCTTCAGACCGGCTTATTGACCCGAACCTGTTCAACACTTACTCTAGCGGTAATATTTGTTCCTGATAGAGTAGAAGAGCTAGAGAGGCCTCAACTGTGGCTCAATGAAATTATAGAGAAATATAAAATGAACAAGGCCTTGGTTAATGATGATATCAAAATCTCCCATTTCTCAGATCATCCAAAGGAGGGAGGTCATCAGAAAGCTCCATTGAGACATTTCCATACCACAGACTCTGATCCAGAGGTAATATTCCTCAACTAATATGGTTTAGAGTGCTGATAATCAACGGTAATGCTTATTCCAAAGTATGAGGCTGCTTTAGCCAGATCATGAAATTAGTAAATGTACCATGTTCCATTTTTAAAGGATGAGTTAAATCCTTTCATGAGAATTCGCATTTAGCTAACGATACTGTGATGCTCAAAATTGAGAAGAACCCCTTGTGGCAACCATCGCCATTGCAGTTGATAAAAAACCTTTTTCTCATGCTATAATTTTAGAAACTCTTTAAGGGTGAATTCGAGACCAAACTCTAGGAAGAAGAATTCCATGCAATCAGTGGGGAACATCGAGAAGTACGGAACTGATGACCTGGACTCCATCTCAGAATTCAACAGTAAGCTTCAGATTGTTCATGGATAGGTTCCTTTGAACAGCTATCTACTGTATCAGCAGCAAGAGGTGAGCAAAAATTAAAAATCTAAACCAAGGGTGCTTCTGGGCGGCTCTTGAGCTCTATAACTTCTAAATTTGCAGCTATGTTTGTCTTCAGTCACTCTGGAATTGATTTAATATGTAAATTAGAGAAAGAAGAATACCTGAAGCACCTCAAAAAGCTCAGATATGCTATTAAAATCGAACTAAAATAATGAGAAAATGATGTCAGTCAATATCGTCGATGAGATCTTTAAAAAGCGCCTGGATGACTACACTGATGCGGTAAATTGAGAACTCCAGCACATACACAAATATGTTGACCGCCTTCAGAGAACAATCACATTGCAAGAGGTTAAATTCAAGCAATTGGCTGAAATTTTTAGGGTAAATTTATTTCTGTCAACATAACATGTCTTAGAAATTTGAGCTAGACAAAACCATTAAGGCACTTCAAACCAGGGAGTTTGGACCAAAGTACCTGAAAGAGCCTGAATCAGTGGTCAAATAAAGACAAGAGTTACACTGAGCTGAGGGACCTTATTGAAACTAATCTAAGATTCGTTAAATCTGGAACATCTTGTTTCGATCACAAATCTATCCAAGTGACAGATTATGAAAATATAAATAAAATTAAAAATTTGGAGATCGAAAACAAACTTTTAGACACGAAGCTTGATGAGATACATGCAAAGGAGGTAAGCTCAACTTGGAGCCAGGCTGACTTGTTTATAGACAAATGAGTCCCGTTTCCTACGTGAAAGTGTTGAATCAGACTTCCAGAAAACCAAGGAAACCTTCTTCCAAAGAGAAGATGAATACCTAACAGAAATTAACCAGCTCAAGAATGATAAGGGTTCGTTAGCAGATGTCTAAGATTTCATAGAGAAGTTAATTCAGGAAATGAGCCAGGTAAAGATGATCCTAAAGAGTCCTTTCCTTTACATGAAATATTACAATGCGAGGTTTGGGTACTTCCCAAAATTGGACATTTGCAGGCCAAAATCTCCTGCTAAACATCGGAACAATGGGCAGGCTCTCAACTATGATAAGGCAGTCAAAAGAAAGATGAGGAGAAGTAGCACTAGCTGTTTCCCTAACCCTGTTTATTCTGCAGTAAATCTCCATCCAGCTGATGCTAAGAAGTCTGACCAGAAGCAAGCCCAGAAACCATCCTCGTCTAGAAGGAAAAGAGTGTCCAAAGATGATTTTAACTATGATAAAGTAAGGTTTTAGTAAATTTCTTACTTAGCCACAAAATCTGGGGGATTCCTCTAGTAGAATTTTGACTTTAATTTTTGAAAAACTTGATGAAATTGTTATCCCTTTGAGGTGAAATAGCACTAAGGACTCTGGAAAGCACATCAGCTGCTCCCAAGTGCTTATACATCCTTTTAATGGACGAGAGTACAGGTTGTGTTTAAATTAGAGCATTAACAAGTGTCATTTTAATAACTCCGCATAGGATTTTGAGAATAAAAGTAGCTACCTAAATCTCGATATTCAAACACATGAGTCAAGCAGCCAGGAAAAGAAGTCTAAATTCTGCATCTTTGATAAGGTTTTTAATAAGAATACTATGAAGCTTAATATGAAAGCAGAAGAGTCTGAGTATATGAACAGTTTCTCTTATAAACCTCTGAAGAGCACTAATTCTCAACCGATTAAATCAATGGTTGAGAAGTCATCATCTCAGCAAGGTAAAGTTGGGTTCATATTAATTTAAAATTACCTCAAGCTCTTTTTGATCATTCAAAAATTAAGACTGCAACTTATCTCTTAAACATAGAGAATCGTGAACTGGAAATTTCAGCCAAAAAGCTGCCCTCATTCAAGCTTCCACATAAGAAAACAGATGAGTATGGGGAAGGAACTGTCACATCCAGCAAGAACGATAAATCTGTCACGATTAACTCAAGTGTTAAGTCATTTTGTAAAGAAAACTTCAGGAAATTGATTCAGACTAAGAGCAGGAACCCAGAATTCACTTCAAAACTCAAACTCGAGATTGTTGCTACTGCAGGTACGACTAGTAAGATCGTGTTGAAGTCCAATACCAGTACGACAAGACAGAGGTCTCGAAAGAACAAGTCTAGACCTAGGAAGTACTTCAAAGCCAAAGATAATGTAGCTTGCAGGTCTTTTATCGGAGGAATTTCCACAAAATCATATGCTAAATAGCCAAAGTTCAACTCTGAATGATATCTTCGGGGTTTTGGGGTTTTGGGGTTTTGGGGTTTTGGGGTTTTGGGG